AGAAGAATCTGTGATTGGAAATACTCTTACAACACTCCAGGCTGAGGTGGAGGTGCTGCTTACTAAACCAGCAGAAAAAGTCTGCCCTTTGGGGTTGTGTCTGGCACATGACATGGTCGAGCAAGGGGTGGAGTTGGCACAAAGGAGGTGCAGGGACAGATGGACTGCTGTTTCTGTTGCCAGACAAGATCTTTAACTTGTTGATTTGCAAGTGTTGCCTAGTAATAGGTTTCAGATATAGAAGATGAAAACTTTGGCTTTGGGGAGGCAGGACATCTGGGTTTGATTTCAAATCCTGCTGCTCGTGACTTAGAGGACTAAGTACTTATTTACTCCATCCTGTTCCCCTTGGTAAATTATGAGGTTCTTCCTGATATTCAGCACCTAAATAATGACAGTTTTACCTCAAAACCTGTGCCGTTAAATACAGGCCCAAAGAGAAGGTAGCAGCTCTAGGTCTGGGTATGCTCTTGCTAACTCTACATTTGTCTGTGGGAAGCAGCCTCTGCATTTCAGCTTTTGTAAGAAGTCCAAATTTCAGTACTAACAAATGGCTTAGGGAAAAGGAAAGGAGCTCTGCTAGCTAAGAGATGACCGTAGTCCAGAGCTTGTGTACATTATCTTGCTTTCAAGGTAGTTTCATAGAATAATGTAATACTTAAATCACACCTCGCTGGATTACAGCATGTGCTGCTGTACCCCTCTTAGCTTGGTATCTTTTCTCCAATTTTTAATGATAAAACCTGAGCAGGTTATCTGTTCTTGGAGGTAAACCTTTTCACAGCAAACCTTACCCGCTGGCACGGGAAGCTGAAGGCAGTTGGTGTCAGCCCTGCACAAGGCTGTGTGTAGCCTGTCCCTGGACAAATTTTTCCCATCGCAGCTGTTTGTGTGCAGTTGCCTCCTGGACTTTGCCGCAGGTTTGTATCTTGAGGCAACTCCATTTGTGTAGCTGGGACTCCAGCCAGATGCCATAAATATTTATACAGTAACAGCAAATGAAAATCTTTTATGTTCTGCACAGCTTCCAGATGCACGTGTATTGTGGGGATTTTTCTGTGGTGTGTGTTAGTTTCCACCTTTCCCTTTGAAGATGTTTATCTTGAGTTGAAAGACCAACTTGGTGTGTCTCTTCTGGTGTTGGCGTTTCTGTGTCAATGTGAGCTGTGGACAAAGTGTGATGTGTGTGTAAGTTGGGGAGGTTGAGCACTCACAATGCTGGTCTGTGCCCTTCAGAGCTCGGGGAAGGGCTGTGACTACAAATCCTTGCAGAAGTGTTACTCGTTTTTTCTTTTGATGCACGTTGTATTTTAGTCAGCCAAATGTAGGCTATGAAGCAGCCCTATCCTAAAATATATGCTTGAGAGATGCTTAACATTCCTTAGAGACCGTAGAGTCATAAGTGAGTGAGCTTTATGCTAGCCAAGAGGAATATTTGGGACAGCGTGGGCATCAGACATGGAATGTTAACCCAGGGGCTACCTAGTCCATAGCTGCCTGTGTTCGTAGAATCATCGAATGTTGTGAGCTGGAAGGGACCCACAAGGATCATCGACTCCAACTCCTGTCCCTGCACAGGACAGTCCCCAGATTCACACCATGTCCCTGAGGGCTTTGGCCAAATGCTGCTGGAATCTTGTCAGGCTTGGTGCCATGAGCACCTCCCTGGGGAGCCTGTTCCAGTGCTCCACCACCCTCTGCCTCAAGAACCTTTTCCTCATGGCCAACCTCCCCCTCCCCTGCCACATCTTCCTGCCATTTCCTCTGCTCCTGGCATTCGTTGGTGGCCAGAGAGAAGAGATCAGCGCCTGCCCCTCCTCTTCCCCTTGGGAGGAAGTTCTAGACCATGATGAGATCTCCTCTCGGTCTCCTCCAGGCTGAACGCACCGAGTGACTTCAGCCTCTCCTCACACCCTTCCCCTCTAAACCCTTCCCCAATGTTGTGTCCCTCCTCTGGACACTCTCCAGCAGCTTTAGATCCTTTTTATCCTGTGGCACCAAAACTGCCCCCAGTGCTGGAGGTGAGGCCGCCCCAGTGCAGAGCAGAGCGGGATGATCCCCTCCCTCGACTGGCTTACCGAAAGTCTGCGATACCTCTGACGTGCCTAGAAGTGTCCCAACTGGCTTCAGCATAGTGGTGTGCGCTACTGTCGTGCCTCTGGCTGAGGTACAGATCTGGCTGGGCTGGGATGGGATGTAGGTGTCTGGTTTTACCAAAAAGTTTCTAAACTGTGCAGCTGCAGTTCACATGAACAGGCTGGGTTTGAGTGTTGCAGTCTCTGCTCCAGTTGTGGTTGCCTCCTGAGTTCCTGTCAGGCACAAAATGCTGGTTGCCTGCTCCTCTGAATCGGCAACCAAGGGCAATAATACAGAAAATCACTTCTATTAGCAGCCCGGGGCTGTATCACACGTTTGATACCAGTGCTTGGGATAGGAAAAGTGGTCTCAAGTTTAAAGAACAGGCTTCTGAAGAGGCTTCTGTATGAACAGGTGTGATATTGGGGTGTTTTTCTTCCCCTCTCTGTTGCAGCAGACTAATTGCTGATTGGAGTTCAGGAACATAAACTCCTGAGCCTAGGCCCTGCTGACCCCCCCAGCCCCTCTGCTTTCCACCATGGACCAGGATTACGAGAGACGTCTCCTACGCCAAATCAACATCCAGAATGAAAACACAATGCCTTGCGTAAGTACAAATGGATTATGCTAAATGGCCTTAGTCTGACTTGTTGTCTGTCTTGCCTGTGACTGTTTTCAGCTGAGCTTTTGAAAAATATGAGGCCTCTTTGAAGCAAAGCTTAGTCTTCTGTTGGGCTGTGGGTAGATGTGAGTTCCTGACTGTTCTAGCAATAACCAAATAACTTGACTTCAGCACAGCTTTTGAATATATTAACTCAGTTCAAGTTCGAGAAAGGAGTTAAGGTATTTTTATGTAGCTCAGTAATGCATTTTTACTAAATAATCTCAGTAAGTACAAGTGGAATGTAAAAAGTTGGGGACTAACAAACAAACAAACCAACTGTAGGGCTTGACAAGATAAAGCATGTCCAGCAGAGGCCACCATGATGGTCCAGAGACTGGAGCAGGAAGATGCTGAGACCTGTGTTGCTTAGCCTGGAGAAGATGAGGCTGAGGAGGGGTGAAATTGTTGCTTTCAGCTACCTAGTAGGTGGTTATGGAGAAAATGGAGTCAGACCCTCTTCAGAGGTACATAGTGTAAGGATTAGAGGCAATGGATGAAAGCTGCAACAGGGAGAATTCCAGTTAGATATTAGGATAAAATGTTCACAGTGAGGGCGTCCAAACAGTGCAACAGGGAGCTTGTGGGGCCATTGTCATTGGAGATGCTGAAAACTCAACTGGATGAGGCTGTGACCTTCAGTGTAACTTTGAAATTAACCCTGTTCTGAGCTGAGGTCCTTTCCAACATAAATTATTTTATGAAAAAGAGTATGACTGCAGTTGAGGAATGTGTGCTGCTCACCCTGCAAGCAGTCTTCCTCACTCCAGCCTTCCATGTGTTTGCCTTGACACTGTCAGCTTGAGAAGGAGCAGCGAGAAAGAGGCTGTTTGGTTCCTTCTTTTGACAGAAGTTCCCATGACAGCTGGACTCTGACGTGCTTACTAGTTCTGTTAAGGGAATACACTAATGTTTGGCTCTTCCACTTAGGCATATTCAGCTTTGACAAGACTTCATTGATGTTTTTCAGATCCCTGCTGTGATCAACACTTGTTCTTTTGTGTGTCTTTTATTCTTTAATTCAGGTAGCAGAGATGAGAAGAACCCTGACACCTTCCAATTCTCCGATGTCTTCTCCTAGTAAACATGGTGACAGATTCATTCCCTCAAGAGCTGGGGCCAACTGGAGCATCAACTTCCACAGAATAAATGTAAGTTTTGCTCCCCTCTCCTACAGCTCAGTCTTGGAACTGAGGAAATGGTGCATTTTGTTTTGGCTGACATAATTGCTCTGCTTATCTTTTGCACTATGGTCTTCTGCTGCCTCAAAAGAGTTCCTCTGAAAGCATGTCTTCAAACAGGCTGCCCCTGTGGTCCAGGAGAGTTCTTCATTTGTAGTTTTACCATATATCATGAGGCTTCTCTATGGTGATAGCATGTTTCTCCCTTTCAGGAAAATGAAAAATCACCAAGTCAAAACAGAAAAGCAAAAGATGCTACATCGGACAATGGCAAAGGTGAGAACACCTTTCTAACATTTGTGCCATGTCTGTAGCTTTTATTTCAAACTGTTGGTGAGTTTGGAAATCACTGGAACACTGAAATTTTCACGGTTACGCAAAAACTCCCACTGGTGTTTTAGGAAATGCCCACATGACAAGAGTGAATACTGGGTCACCTCAATAGGCTTCTGATGAGTGTCTGTGAAGTGGGAGGCTATTTGTATCCCTTGATTTATTGTGCCATGGAAGCACCTTCCTAATGGAGTGGAAGGAGGAGAAGCTTGCTGCTAATCTTGATTCCAAACTGGGGCCCCAGGCTTACGAAGAGGCCCTGTGCATGTACAAGTCAGGCAGACGTGATCCTGCCACTCCCTGCAGAGTGCTTTGCTGCTTCCAGGTTCTCTGCCTAAGTGCTGGTTTGGGTTCACAGATGGCCTTGCTTACTCTGCCTTGCTGAAGAATGAACTCTTAGGAGCAGGGATTGAGAAAGTGCAAGACCCACAGACAGAAGACAGGAGGCTGCAGCCGTCCACCCCAGAGAAGAAGTCTCTTTTCACTGTAAGTTGGTTACTCTGCATTAAAACCAGTGGAGGTTGCATGTGTGCATCATAGGAACAAAGCACACAGTTCTGCCAAGCGGCTAGTGCAAGCGACTTAGTGTTGTGGCTTGACTTACCTAAGCTGTTGATAACAAAATTTGGTGGCCTGTGAAGAGAACTTGAGTATCTGCAGCAAGCTATGTACTTCCTAATTTTGCACTGACAGGGAAGCTGAGTTGGAACCAGGCTTTGTTAGGCAGTGTGGTAAGTGACCAAATCGAGCTTTTGGATTTCCGTGGAGATGAGGGTATTTAAGGGAGGAACTGAAAAGTCTGGAGAAGCTGACTGTGGGTGTTGGAGTTAGCTAGGCATCAGGCACCAGTGTATGTTGCATGTGCTAGATCTTGGGCATGCTGGGGTTCTTACTAGATGTGTTTTCTTTATGCAGTATTCGCTCAGCACAAAACGCTCTAGTCCAGATGATGGCAATGAGGTCTCACCGTATTCCCTGTCTCCTGTCAGCAACAAAAGGTAATACTGATTCTCCACAGGCTGTGAGAAGGGAAGGGTTGGGACAGAGAATTCAGGGACATTCTCTAGGTCTTCTTTCCAAGGCACCCAAAATTGCTATGTGAATTGGTTTTGGAAATCTGGGGAGATAATAAGTAGGGATAGTCAAGTTCTAAGAGTTTCTGCAGGTGTGCAACCTGCATAGATACTTCATGTCTTCCTCCCTGGCTCCCTTATGGAAGCAGAGCCTAATTCCTTCCAGTCTTACCTGCTGGAAAGAATTTTGCAGCCTCTTTGTCTGCAGTTCTACAGAAATGCAAGCATGCTTTAAAGAGTAGCTACATCTGTGTGTACCATCTGCTGGATGTGTAAGATCCTGTAGTTGTTTTTACATTTGTTTCTCTAAACAGTCAGAAGTTGCTAAGATCACCTCGAAAACCAACTCGGAAAATCTCAAAGATTCCTTTCAAAGTGCTGGATGCCCCAGAGCTGCAGGATGACTTCTACCTGAACCTGGTGGACTGGTCTTCTCTTAATGTCCTCAGCGTTGGCCTTGGGACTTGTGTTTACCTGTGGAGTGCTTGTACTAGCCAGGTAAATTATCATCGGTGTCTGGAGAGTGAAGTACTTGTTGCTGTAGGTCTTTTCCAGCCACAGCGTCTTTCAGAGCTGTGGAATGAGCTGTGTGAGGGAGTCAGCACTTGTAATGCTCTGTCCCAAACTAGGTACTAGTTTGTGAGACAACTAATAGTGTAGTATGACAATAACAAGTGTTTCTTATTCCATTCTGTCCTGCTTTCAAGGTAACCCGACTGTGTGATCTCTCAGTGGAAGGAGATTCTGTAACATCTGTGGGCTGGTCAGAACGGGTCAGTATAACTTTGTCAACAGTGACAGCCGAGACTCGTGTAACCTAGCTTCTATCGTTGTAGCTGTATAGCTCTTCCTCACAGGTTTCAACTTCTTGTGTTATTTTCCTGTACACAAATCAAATGTGTTTTCCTGTTGCACTGTTTTTCTCTGATAAATGAGAGGGGATAGAGAGCAACCTCTTGTATCTTGAGGTTCTTGAGGCATTTGCTAAGAGGGAGGGAGAAAGAGCTAGTTCAATTCTCCAGCTCTTTACAATAAAATGTTACAATAAATATATTCCAGCCAGGCTGTTTGGCCCTCTGAGTAGGGAAAAGATGTAAGAACTCTGGATGCTTTCCACCTTCTGGGATTTATCTCAAGTCTTTTCCTCAGCTTCTAGCTTTTGTTTTGAGTCTGTCTTTTCTTACTGGCTTCACTGATCATGGTTTTCTTATTGTTTAGGGGAACTTGGTAGCTGTTGGCACTCACAAGGGCTTTGTACAGATCTGGGATGCAGCTGCAGGAAAGAAGCTCTCCATGCTAGAGGGGCACACAGCCAGAGTCGGTAAGGATATGGGATCACAGGTTTCACATGTTTTGTTTCTTCATGGTTGAACTTTTTCCTTGTAAGTGAGGGATCTGCTTGAAATAGCAGAACTCAGAAAGTACCAAAATTGATATTTATCCCCTGCTATGTCTTGAGCAATCTTTAAAATCTTATCATCTAGTAATTGTGGTGTTCTGATCTTGGGTGCGGTGATGTTGCAGCAAGTGTTTCCTCCATGTCTGAGGCATTTTAGGTTTGGTTACAACATCTTTTTTCACTGCCACTGGCTTCCGGTTTCAGCCCTGCAGGCAGGCTTCTTTACACTGAGATTTCCAGTTCCCTTATTCTGCAGACACTTTTTTTTTTTTTCTCAGAGGCGTTCTGAATCTGAATGCTGGAGTTAGATTTGGGAAGTCACGGCACCTTCTGAGTTTTATTTCTGTGCTTTACTGCACTGTAAAATGGGATTAGTGTTAATTTCAGGAAGTTTATGCAGGTTAATCTCTTTATACACTATTCTAGGACTTCAGACAGTGGATATAAGGGAGGTCCTTGCATCCTGGGGTTTTTTTGTTTGGTTTTGTTTGTTTCTTTTTTTTAAACCTGACAACTTCCTACCCACTCCCACAGGACTGCCACAACATAGTCTTGTGCTCTGCCTGTGTTACAGGTGCTTTGGCATGGAATGCGGACCAGCTGTCTTCTGGGAGTCGAGACAGGATGATCCTTCAGAGAGACATCCGCACCCCACCCCTACAGTCTGAGCGACGGCTCCAGGGCCACAGGCAGGAGGTCTGTGGGCTCAAATGGTCTACGGACCATCAGCTCTTGGCCTCTGGAGGAAATGATAATAAGGTATAGTACTTCCAAGGAGCCCCGTGAGGCTCAGTGTCTCTAGATTTTCACAAAGAAATGTCAGACCCCCTTTCTTTAAGGATATTTGGCCTCTCTGAAAGGGGCTTTTGTTTCAGTTGTTGGACTGTGTCCAAACATAAATCATACTAAGCTTCTACTCAGTCTCCTCTCTCTAATAAAATTAAAAAGGTGAATTTAATTTTGCTTTTGTATTTGGCTAATTAAATCTATAGCTTGACTCAGGGATTTGAGTTCAACAAAGCTACTGCTAAGCTGTACTTCCTGACTTTGTTTAGGTAGCGTGTAGTTGTTTGTTGCAATAATGTTTCTGTATGTAGAAGGAAACTGAGTTTAGAGCTATATAAGTTCTAATACCTATCACACAGGCTTGTAGTTCACTGAGCACCATATGGACGAAGCATCTGCTATGGAGAAGCAGTGTTCAGAGCCCTTTGGAGTGGGTTGCTAGGTAGTGAATTTGCCCGTTATCTGTCTGACAGCATGGTTGTACTGAGTTCCTCCTGCTCAGAATAAATTCTAATGAGCATATTTCTAAATGTGTTTTGGAATAATACAGCCATAAAGACAAAAGAAGGGTTTGAGTTCATGTTCACTGACATTGTCTTTGGCTTCATAAGCTTAACTGAAGGACTGTTAGCTTCCTGATGGCCCAGCGGTAGAGTGGCTCCTCAGTGGAGTGTGTTGGCAGAGTGGGACTGGCTTCAGGGCTGCAGGTGCAAAGTGGAGATGCACGTGCTCAGGCAGAGCTGTGGGAAATCATCTTGTTGCCCAACTGCCCTCATCAGTCCCAGTGCAACATCCTGGCTTGTGGGTGTTTCGGACGCGTGACTGCAGCGCAAGTTTGATCACGTCTCTCCTCTCTGCCAGCTCCTTGTCTGGAATCACTCCAGCCTGAGTCCTGTCCAGCAGTACACAGAGCATCTTGCAGCAGTAAAAGCTATCGCCTGGTCTCCACACCAGCATGGACTCCTTGCATCTGGTGGTGGTACCGCTGACCGCTGCATACGCTTCTGGAACACGCTTACTGGGCAGCCTTTGCAGTGCATTGACACTGGGTCGCAAGTGTGCAACCTGGCCTGGTCAAAACACGCCAACGAGCTAGTAAGTTCCTCCCTGTGCAGTCCTGCTGCTGAGCTGCCTCGTGTTAGGAAGCACAATGCATATTTCCCTCTTCCCTTTCAGGTGAGTACCCACGGATACTCGCAGAACCAGATCCTCGTCTGGAAATACCCTTCATTAACTCAAGTAGCAAAGCTAACAGGGCACTCTTACAGAGTCTTGTACCTGGTAAGTGATGGCCGTGTCTCTGAAAGCTTCTGTATCTGCTTGTCTGGCTGCGCTGTGCTGAGATGAGACCCAAAGCTGCAGTGCCAGTGGCACTGTGAGCTGCCTGTAGTCTAGGTGGAAATGTGAATGCTGCCCTGCAAGCACTGAAAAATGCTCTGTATCTGGTTTCCTTGCCTGTGAGGGATACTTTGATTTGCTGCTATGGAAATATGAGGCATTATTAATGAAGAGCAAAGCCTGCCAAAACTCTTCTGAGGAAGCACAAGCATCTTCTTGTTCCCTTAAGACTTGAACACTTTTTCACTGGTGACTGCCAGCAGGGGAAGAATTTGATGCTTTCAGTCCTCCTCATTCATGATTAAAATACTTGGTGCAGTGAATCCACATCGATCTTGTACCTGCTTTGTTACTGTTACGTAGGGCTTCCAGCAGATTTGTAGCAGATGATGAATACACTGATACTGTTTTGTGAGGTAGATTCCAATGTAAGTGACTAATAGAGCTGGCAAATTATAGCCAGTTATAGCGCAGTTCCTGCCTTAACACACATTTATAATCTGAGGAGGAGTAGCCTCAATTACAAATGGCTTGGATTTCTTAACACAAGAATCCCTTATATGATAATTCTACTCTTGCATTCAATAGCTGCATAAGTAAGATGCAAGTGCTCGAACTGACACCTACCAAGACTGAACAGGGCACATGAAAGCAGAGGTAGTTGTTTGGTTTCTCACCACCAGCCAAGTAGGAAGGAGAGTTAAATATCTCTCATGCATTCCAATGAAGATTTGTTTTCAACCTCAAAAATGTAACAGATGCTAAAGATTGCTCTCTCTTGGCCTTAGGCAATGTCCCCTGATGGGGAGGCCATAGTTACAGGAGCTGGAGATGAAACCTTACGCTTCTGGAACGTCTTCAGTAAAACTCGCTCAACAAAGGTAAGGATGCATTGTGTTGATGGCTGCAGCTGTGTCCTGGAGGATGCTCGGCCTTTGGGGGTGAATTCAGTCCAAGTTTGCCCTGTTCTCCTGCCTTGCCTCTGATCTCTTCACCATATCCTGTAGATCAAGGGCTGCAGTGAAGGGTTAAACTTTGTTGAGGTAGAAAGGGATTTGTAGTCATCAGATGAAATAAAAGGTTGCCTCTGTGTTCCCAAGGCAGTGTGACAGAACATCCTTCTCCTGGCTGTTACACGGCTGCTGAGGATAGCAGCATTTCAGGGAGCTCACCCTGGGCTCACCATCTTCCCTGCTACAACATGCTGCTGTGAACCAACCTGGTCCTCAGAGGTGACTATCACAGAATCCCAGACTGGTTTGGGTTGGAAGGGACCTTAAAGCTCATCCAGTCCCAACCCCCCTGCCATCAGCAGGGACACCTTCCACTAGACCAGGTTGCTCAAAGCCTCATCCAACCTGGCCTTCAACACTTCCAGGGAGGAGCAGCCACAGCTTCTCTGGGCAACCTGGGACACTGTCTCACCACACTTACATCAAAGAATTTCTTCCTCACATCTCAGCTCCATCTCCCCTCTTCCAGTTTCAAGCCATCACCCCTTATTCTGTCACTCCCTGCCCTTATCCAGAGTCCCTCCCCAACCTCCCTGGAGCCCGTTCAGGTACTGGGAGGCTGCTAGAAGGTCTCCCCGGAGCCTTTTCTTCTCCAGCTGAACAGCCCCCACTCTCTCAGCCTGTCCTCACAGCAGAGGTGCTCCAGCCCTCAGATGATCCTTGTGGCCTCCTCTGGACTGGCTCCAGTATGTCCCCTGGCTCCTTATGAAACTGCTTAAAATGCTGGCTTGGGTGGAAATGGGATCGTGGATGCTGCCGCTGACAGCTCACCATCACCAAAAGCCGGTTGTGCCAGATGTTTGGAGAGCTTTTTTGGGTGTCTGACAGAGGCAATGGAGAACGGCAGAGACATCTTAAGAAATGAGCTGCAGGGAGCTGGCAATGCTCATTTCTGGGTGTCCCTCTGGTTTCTGATGGCTCTGGGGTACAGCTTCCTGCAAAGCTGAGGGAATGGCATACTTGCCTGCTGTGCTTCTTGTTATCAGTTGGGGAAAAAAAAAAAGGTGGGGGGAATATTTGTGGTATTGGACTTTGAACGGTGAGCTCACATTGTGCCCTGGGCTAGAGATACCTCACCAGATTAGCAGTCACTTTATTAAAAGAAAAAAAAAAAGAAAAAAAAAAGAAAAAAGGCAGGTGGAGTAATTCTGCAGCACAACTGTGGGTACTCAGCACCTGCTTTATCTTTTCTTGTCAGGAGTCTGTATCCGTTCTCAACCTCTTCACCAGGATACGATAAACCCCATGTACTGCAACCCAGGAGACTACAGCCTGACATACCAGGATCAAACCACTACCTTGGTGTGCATGGAACCCCAAACGATCAGCCAGAAGGGAGAGAGTGCCAGTGGGACTGGAGGACGGACCCAACAGATGCTAATTAAATATGTGCTTGTGAACCATGCTGGGCATATTTGGGATGGGGTTGGGGAGGGGAGGGAACTGACAAACGTTTACAGATTCATCCTTCATAAAGGGAAACGGGTACAAGAGAAATGTTAAACCAGCATTCTCCAACCCTCGTGTTATATACTGGAGAGAACATGTGTGACATGGACCATTGAGACTGGACTAAGGCCATCCCAGCTGCTCTGTTGTCCTCTCCTGGGAGAGATGAGAGTATCCTTGCCTCTGTGGGAATGGGTTTAATGTGCTGCTCTGGGTCCCTCTGTCCTGGGATGGACATCTTTGGAGGTAGAAGCCAGCCAGATTTGTTCGATATGATTGGTGCAAGGGAGCTGAACTCCAGGCTGGGCGTTAGCCTCTCTGATTATCTAAGGGCATTGTTTATATCCTGGCATCCCCATAACATGAAGAAACTGGAGAACTGCTTATTTTCCTTCCTGGCCCCCCCCAGATAGGTACTGTAGTACTTGATACAATCATTCCTGTAAGACAGCTTGATTTTTGGCATGCTTGACAGCTGCCTTCAAACAAATACATTTTGGGGCTTTAAATGTTGGAGACTTGAAGAGGCTCCAGCTCAGAGGGAGCACATTCAGAAAGTTCTGCAATTGCTGTTGCATGTTCTGGGCTGATCTTTTTAGTTAACAGAGAGGAAAAACAATGGCTTTAAAAAAAAAAAAAAAAAAGAAGAAAAAGAAAAAAAAAAAGAAGAAAAAAACCAAAACCCAACCCCAACAACCACCATGCATGTGGAGCTTCCCACAGTGCCAATAGTGGCAGTCTGGTTGCTCTGGAGTCTTCCTGAGGACAAAAGCAGTTGAGATCTGTTTGAGAAACAAAACAACTCATGTGGATGTGTTTTTTGGAGAGAGCATGGCCTCTTCTGGCTAGAAGCGGGGAAGCACCATGTCTCGCAACACAGGGGCAGTTCTTTTTCTAAAGCGAGGAAGAAGTGTTGCTTTTTTTTAATCTCCATGTCAAAGCCAGGGACCTGTTGGTTTTGAATTTTGGTTTTTTTTGGTTGGTTGGGGCTTTTTTTTTAGGGGGGGGTGTTTTGTGTTGGGATTTGGTTTTTTTTAAAAAAAAACCTCTATGGGAAGAGAGTACCTGCTTGTGTGTTTGGAGCCTGTGTGGTGAGTGCTGTGGGATGTGATGCAAAGCACTTGTGTGTGTGTTGCTTTTAATTTAAAGAGAAGCTGTTCTGCTTGCAGCAGCCTGTTCCTGTCTCACTCTGTACATGTGCCAACGCTCTCCCTGCCATGCGCCTGGCTCCCGCCCGCCTCACGCCCTCTCTAGTGCACTGGGATGTGAGTGCTGTTTCCTCTTCTCATTTGGATTTTCCTGGCTGTGTATATAGACCTTGACCTGTTCTCTGTAGACTGCATAGACAATACTTTTCTATTATTTTTTTTCCTTCTTTCCCTGAAACCAGACTAGGGGTGGCTGTAGAAATGTGATGGTCTCTCCCCAGTGCCACCAGTATCCTTAGGGTGAGCTTCTGAGGTGCAGGAAGGGTGGTATAGAGAAAGGGTAGTGAGGTGCCATTCTGTTCACTGCCGCCTTGACCACGAGTGCCATTACACCAGGGCCTGGATCAGGCTCTTGGTGCTCCCTCTGCTTGTCACAGGGCCTTGGAGGCACCAGTGAGGAGCGCGTGTGCCGGGAGCTTGCTGCTCCTGAGCAGGCTGGCAGCACGGAGTCTCCACAGCCCAAATTGGCAGCCACATCATTGTCTTACAGCCTCACTTCACCTTGAAATGTAATTTCAATGTCATTTCTGAAACCCAGTTTTCAACACAACTACTTTACTGTAGTTCTTGCTGCAGGAGCTCGAGGTTTGGTTTAAAAATCATTGGAGGGCTCCCAGCCCCTCTCTTGTTGCTTGACACTGACACTGTTAATTGTGTGGAAGGACCACTACAAATCACTGAGGTGTTGTTAAAATTAAGTCAGATCATTAAGTTGGCAAACAGGTTTGAAGGGAAAAGCTACTCGCAGCAAGCTGTGGTCTGTCACAGGTGTCTGTCCTGGGTAGTATCTCCCTCTTGAGCAGCGGAGCCTGGGGACAGGAGCTGTGTACACCAGGGGTGAAGGTGGTTGATAGCTGCTGTTGTGGATTTTCTTCTCTTGTTTCTTGTCTCCTGCCTAAATCCCAACATGCAGACCCCCAGGAGATGCTTTCTCCTCCTTTCTTGGGGTGGGGGCACACAGGCGGTCTCAGCCGTGGGGTGGTTTCACACTAGTTTGTGCCCATTCTGGAGCAGGAGGAGGGAGCTGGGCAGCCCAGCCCGAGCGTGGGGTGGGTGCCCTGGGGTGAGCATGGTGCTGCTGGGACTCCCCACTGCCCCGGGGCTCCCTCAGGGCTGGCGGATGGAGGGGTGGGTTTGCCTCTCGCCCTGCACCATGACTGTGTTCCCCAGAGGAGTCTCAGGAGCTGCTGGGGCGGTGGCAGCGCCGTCCAGGCACGTATGGCCTGTACTGTGTCCACAGGTCTGTGCTCCCTGCACCCTGGGATGCTGCGGAGTGGGGCCAGCCCCTCATTGCTCTGTCCCCACATCGTGCTTCTCTCTTGCTAGGGACTTTCGCAAGCCAAATCTCTCATTTTTCTCACTTGGGAGCTGCCTTGGGAGCAGGTTGGCTCCTCATCCTTGGCGGGGAGGGCTAGTGATTTCCAAGCCATGGCTGGTCTGCGGCTGAGCACGTTGGCTAATGGATGTGATGAGAGCGAGCTGTTCAGATTGACTTGGCTGTTAAAGTGTGGCACAAACTCCGTCTTCCACCCTGCTTGCAGCTGTCAAGGCAGGAGCGGAGTTCCCAGAAGTGTTCTCTGCAGGTCTTCCACCGCAGGAGCGTGTGCGGGTGGGTGTGTGCGTGTCTCAGCTCATGTAGGCGAGCGCTGTGCTGCTGTCGGCTGCCTGGAGTGTGCTGTGGCATGTTAAATGGGGAAAAGAGCAAAGCTAACGTCAGCTTGTGCTGTCAGGGTGAGATGTAAGCACGGAGCTGTGCGGGCGGGCTGAGCAAAGGGTCCTCTCAGAGTTTGTGTGACAAAGTCTGCGACCTTGTGGCATTGTTATATATAAGGCATCATATGACGGGGGAAAAAAAAATACAGGGAGTGTTGTAACTTTTCCATGTAAACCAATCTAACTGGCATTAAACAAGTTGTGAATTTATATCTCTTGGGCTTGGTGGCTGCACATTGCTTTTCTACAGAGAGGTGAAGAGTGTAGTGAGTCACTGGGCACCCTGGAGCTGCCCCCCCCCCCCCCCCCCCCC